TCCAATCCGTGGTGAAGGTTGTTTTCAGCTGGTCTTCCTTCCGGATAGATACTTGATTATATCCGGAAAGCCCACCTAAAAAGCTAAAACACTCTTGCCCAGCCACGTGGTCTAGAACCATGTGGATGAAAGGTAGAGGGTAGTGGTCCTTCTTGGTAGCCGCATTCAGCTTTCGAAAATCTGACATACCCGAATCTTTACCTTTCCGTCCGTTCCCACCTTCTTTGGTACAATCACAATGGAAGAAACCCATTCTGAGTTGTTTACCGGATAGATGAATCCGGCCTCCAACAACTTGTCTAGTTCTTCTTTCACCATCATGGAGTACTTCAGATTAAGCCTGTATTGACGTTGACGGACAAGTGTGGCTCCTTCCATCAAATCAATATGATGTTCTCCCAGTTCCGGTGGTATCCCCACGAGGTCAGAAGGTTGCCAAGCAAAGACATCGTCATATTCTGTTAATAAGGCGAGGTACTTTGTCCGCTCCTAATCAGACAGTTGCTTCCCCAAAAAGAAGAACTTTCCTTTTGCAACCTTCACTTCCTCATAATCGTCTGGAGATACGACAGTCTTAATAGGTTCCGTCGTTGCTACTTCTGGTCCCATTCTTACGTCTGCTCACGAATAAATGGTGCCCAATGAGCCAGAAGGGACTGTCGGTATTGCTCCAGTTGTGATCTGATTTTGGATCCAATCAGAGGAGAGTTCCATGTTGTATTCACCCAAAGATCGGTCACCAATCTTTTCCTCTGATGGATTGAACCCCTCAGTCACATTTTGGACTTTGCCTTGTTCCAAAACCGATTCTGGAAATCCAAAATCTTCTTCTATCACCTCCCTGAATTGTTGCACATGATACGCCTGGATGCAGTTGGACGATTCTGGGTCTGTCCAATCTAAGGTGTATCCGTCCGAATCGTCAATCTCGCCTTGATGCTCCTCTGGTCGCCATGACAGGAACACAGCCGGATCTCCGAAGCAGAAGACCTTCTTGGCCCAATTGACTTTCACTTTCACTGAATACAACCAGGGTCTTCCCAATAGTAAAGGGAATGGACTGCCTTCTTCTACGCGGATGACAAGGTAGTTTAGAGGATAAGTTAGTCCAGAAATCTTAGTAGATATTCCAGATAACTTCCCCACCGGAATCACCCTGGATTGGTCCGCCATCCGAAGAGTCTGGTTCGTGGTCTCAAAGACTGTGTAACCCAGATCGTTGGCGATGCTCTCCAGTAGCAGGTTAACTCCTGATCCTCCATCTACTGGAACGTTTCGGATAATGCAGCCGTCAATCTCCACAGAAATCTCCGGAGCCCCGAAGTCTTCTAACTCTGCGAAGTTAACTGCTACAGGAGGTAAAATAACTTTCCTTTTCCTTGGCTTGATCAAGGGAGCCTTTATTTGCTTCTGATAATTGGGATTATCATGGAGTAGTTGGCCAATAGTTACATTGGCTTTCTGCTCCTTGACATCTTGCAATATATCATATTCATCTACCTTGGTGTTAACATCCGGACAAATCAATGTATGAGGCATACTGAATCTCACCCGTCTTTTCTCCGGTTGCTGGTTTTGAGTTAGCTCCCCCTGTACCTCTGTACTGATATCCGATGTGAGAGAAGAGGTCTTGACCCCTTTTTCAAACTTTGCTGCTACGGAAATAGTTTCGCTTTCTGAGTCTCCGGAGGAGTTTGAACCTCGGATTATATTCCGAATAGACCTTGTCTTCCGAACTTTCGGAGCTTCTCCTCTCCGATTTTTTTGGGCGGTGGTGGAACTACGTAAGCTGACCTGGTGGATTTTGACAATTGGTGAGTCACGTTGTTCCACCACGCACCGTCAGATGTTTGGGTTTTCCACCCCATCCTTGTGACCGTAGTTCAGGGCCGTTCGTTACCGGGGTGGTTCCTCCACCTGCTTGTAGATAACCCTGGGCTTGGCCGGTTGCTGGCATTGAGGTGCGTTGTGCCCATACTAACCACAGTTCTGACAGGGAAGCTCTAGAGGAGCGTCTTGGCCTCCTCTCCTTGGGCAGTCCGCCATAAAGTGTCCTTGCTCACCACAATGATAGCAAACAGCGTACTGACGGTCCGTCATTACTGGTCGTCCCGAATGGACAGCCGAGGTTTGTTGAAGTTTTGAAGGGAATCCAGATACTGGAGCAATTCCGGATGGTTACCTTGGCCTCACCATGGGTTGCAACATCCGTGATCTCGCGTATGATGGGGCGACCTGATACACAGGTATCATGTTTTGCTCCCCTTCCTCGTATTCCGAAGTAGCAAAGAATACAGATCCAGTCTCGTCCACGAACTGTACCCGTTTGGGTGGCACATGAGTACATTCGTTTGGGTAGTGGCCAGCTTGTCCGCATCGAGTGCACCAGACATTGTTTCGGATCGTTGGAACGGGCCTTCTGTTCTTGTGGTTTTCGGCGAGTTGGACTTTGATGGCCGCCAAACTGGACTGAATGTCCTTCATCATTCGCTTGTCATCTGGCACCTCCTCCTTGAGTATGACTGCCGCCCGGTTGCGTTCTCCATGATGGCCTCTAGATCCGGAGGCTCTCCGAGGAGAGTGATCTTCCTCCGAATCTTCACTGTCGCCGGACCAACTATCGGTGCTACTTCCGGAGCTGGAGTCGCTGACCTCTCGCTTTCTCCGGATCTGCTTCTTTCCCTTGTAGACTTCCTTCTTTGAGTGACTTCCGGATTGGCGTAGAGACTGTTTGGAATTCTCGTAATTTTGTGCAGCTTCCATCGCTTCCTGCAACGTCTGGGGTCGAGCTTGTCGGACTTGAAACCCCATTCGGTCTGGGAATCCAGATACGTACCACTCGACTTGTACGCTTGGGGCAATGCCCGGAGTGAGTTTTTGAATGAGACTCCTCACCCTCTGCCCGTACCTCCGGACAGATTCTCCTGGCTCCATCCTCATTTTGCTGAGTTTCCCCAGCGTTCTGGCTTCACCACCTACTTCTCGAAAAGTCCGAAGAAATGCCAATGTAAGCTGGTCCCAATCGTTTCGGACCGGTACCGCCACATCTAGGTACCATTGAAGGGCTTCTTTTTTTAGTAATCCCTGGAAGAGGCGAAGCTTCGTGGCGTCATCCTCCTGGTTTGCTGCAGCAGTTGAGTTAAACTCGCATAGCCACTCGTCCACGTCCTCCCTTCCATCACCTTTGAACTTCCGGTACTTCAAGCGAGAAGTGCTTTTGGCCATGCTGTGAACTTCGTCCGGAGAACTTTCGCAATTCGGTTCCAAAGGTTGACCACCTCCAAGCGGAACTGCCCCTCCTTCGGTTGTGATCAGTTCTTCCGGTTCGGTTCCACCAAGATCCACTATGATGGAAACAAAAGACACATCCTCCGATTCTTTGTCACTTCTCTTCTTTCGGCTGGATCTTCGTGGACCGTCACTTTCCTGTTTATGTTGTTTCATACAGCCGTGAATACAACTCACTTCTGTACTACAAATATTTTACGCAGGTTTCTAACAGGTCTAGAAATAAATCAAATAGGTCCCCGGCAGCGGCGCCAAAAATCACATGTAGCAATCTTGCGGATCAGTAATCCTCGGGTTTGCATCTAATTTAAGTTAAATGCGCTCCCAAGTAAACCGCTCCGACTTCGTTCCCACGAAGACCTACAGTTTACTTCTAAACCTTATAGAAGAGCCTATCCTACAATTTTTGGAAGTTGTACCTTCCAGATTCGGACCAGAGTGATGTAACTTTCTCGTCAGATTTTTAAACAAGTGGTTGGGACCACTGAGCGCTTTATTTAAAATGGCCGGTTTCACCACTAACCGACAATTTTTTTAGTGACCTGACTATCACTGCCTTGTATTTTTCCACATAACTGTACATCCACTAACCTCTAACCTGCCACCTAGTAGTTTGTTAGTTGCATCTGACTTCTACTCCCAGCGCCCAAGTGTTACTCCGACACATATACGGTCACATAGAGTTTGTCTAGACTACAACGACATTGCAACTAAACTGCCATAACCTACTTAATGAATCCTGAGGATTTCGTCCAGGTTTACCTTCCAGACCTACTCATAGGTTTTTTGAGGGAGTAATTCTGGCCTTAGCTCAGAATTCAGACAACGATCACTCGTACTGTATAGACCACAAAGAACACCTTGTTACACGTCTACTCCCCTCCACGCTACTTGGGCCACGAAAAAAATCTCAGGTTCTTCTGCCTGCACCCGCCTCCAACAGCTGAAGTGATCTCGTACTATAGGTTCCAATAGATTCTTCTCGGAAATGAGCAACGAGAGTATACACCAAGTAGAAAAAAATGCAATAGTCACCCATAATGGATCTTGCCACGAGACTCGTCGTGCCTTGCATCAAGTCACCAAAGAAACAATTTTCTTTTTTGATGAAAAAGCACACAAACCTCACGGAAAACAAGATACTAACCTACTAAGCGTCTTGGCTTTAAGTACTAACTCCTACATAATCTTATCCCTCGCTGAAAAATCCCAGAGATCTCGGACCTGAACCTGTGGCGACCCCAAATGCTAGTCCCCCAGCCTCAAACTCTATTTTTGACTTCTGGCGGAATACCTTGGTTTCGGTGGGTGAGGCAAAAACATACACTGAGGAAGCTTCTTGAGACTCTTCCTCCCTTCCGAGCAGTCCGTTTTTGGTTGTACCCATCTCCGAAGTTTCGATCACCTTCTCCAGGTTGTATGTTGTCCTCTAGCCACTTTTTGAGTTTAAAGAACTTGGTGCGACACCTAACCCCTAAACTGCATTGCACAAATCTAATTCTAGTATAAACCTAGCTAGCATAGTACTTATTTCTTACTTTTGTCCAATTTGTTGGTACAAAACCGGGATTATGTGGGAGCTGGTTCCCACACTTGTGCGCAGGCATCCCTACCAAGCTACCAATGACCTAGAAGTTTGACGACAGTCTTGCAATCAGATTGACCTTTCAGCTGAAGTGGAATTTGCTGCCCATTGACCGGCTGCTCTTAGCACTTGTGTTTCTTGACGTGGACCAGAACTGTTGGCCTTGAGCTCTTCGGTTCCCGGTCGACAGTATGTTGCAGCTCTCGTAGAGATCGCCCCTCCGCTTAAGATGGCAGGCGTCCATCAGCAGATGGGAGGACCGTGTAAAACAGATGCAAGCAATATTAAGATCGGAGGGGGGCAGCGCGGCACGAACTGAGGACAGGGACTATATCGAGCCAGAGCCACATCTTCTGTGGACTGTCGATGAATTCTATAAATGGTCGCTCTATAGAGCTGCCATCGCTGAGTTTATTGCCACTCTACTCTTCGTGTACATCGGCGTTTCTGCTGCCATTGGAAATGGCCGTACCAGCCCCGATGGAGTCGGAGCTCTCGGCGTTGCATGGTCTTTCGGACCTACCATATTTGTGCTTGTCTACTGCACAGCTGGTGTTTCAGGTTCGCCCTTCCATTGCCAACCGGCTCTAGAAGCACTTGCAGTCAGATCGTCCGAGGCTCCATCGATTCCTTCTGGTTGTAGCTAAGAGCGTTTTGATGATGATGTGGTCATAATATTGTGGAACGATGAAAATGTTCTCAGAGTGAAGTCCGTTCTTCACGGTTGTCATGTATGGCAGTAGTCTCATTATTCCGATGCAACGATTGATCTGTTGGTGTGGGCAGGAGGACACATTAACCCCGCAGTTACTTTGGGACTTCTTCTGGGTAGGAAGCTTTCAGTTCCTCGGGCTTTCATCTACATGATTGCCCAGATGGCGGGGGGTATTTGTGGAGCAGGACTCGTGAAGGATTGCAGAAAACTCCATTCCAGGTGTTGGGCGGCGCGACGAATACGGTCAGTGCAGATTTCAGCATCGGCACAGGTCTGGCAGCAGAAATCATCGGAACTTTCTTCCTGGTTTACGTGGTCTACTCTGCCACTGATGCTACGCGCAAGGCCAGGGACTCGTATGTGCCGGTATGTTCGACAACCATTATATCTGAATTTTCTTGAAGAGTGATTTCCCAGATGAATCCACTTGCATCTTCTGAAACTGGATCAGAGTCACAGAAATTATGTTGAAGTGGTTCAAGTTGAAGACGAACCTTGATGTATGGAGGCGCTGCGATGTCCCAGGTGCTAGCCCCATTGCCCATCGGGCTTGCAGTTTTCGTTGTCCACCTCGCGACCATTCCCATCACTGGCTGTGGAATCAACCCTGCACGAAGCTTCGGCCCGGCTGCTCTCTGGAACGACCAGCAAGCTTGGGATGACCAGGTGAGTTATAGTATCTCAACTTATCCCATATAGATGTGTTATATCAATCTTCCCATTGACCGAAATCTCAGAAATCCAGCATCCAGTCTCTCGCATTCGCATGAATATTCTACCTGAAAGCAGTGACAGGGCTAATAATTTGGGACATCTGATTTGCGCAGTGGATCTTCTGGGTCGGTCCCTTCATCGGAGCTACCTTGGCTGCCGCCTATCACCAGTTCGTCATCCGCACTTTGCCGCTAGGATCACACTTCCTGTTCCCGACCATGTCCGGCTCCATGAGCATTTCAGGAAGAAAACTTGAAACCAAGCTTTCAGGGTGAGGACGAAAATACCAAGGACACTAAATCTGCTGACAACAAAATGTGAAGCTCAGGCTCGAGTACATATACTGATCTGCAGCTGCACGTACCACTCTACTGTAAATAACAACGAAGAGGTTCTTATACACAGCCGGAGAGAAACCACGCCCTGAAGGTTCAGCATCAACAAGGGTAAAACCTGAAATCATCTATTTGCAGAGGACTAGGATTACCCCCCGCAATTGCGGATGGTAATCCTAGTAGTAATCCGTCGCACAAAAATATGACCACTGGAGAAGCAGCTTTCATGCCCAGGTTCTAGCATTGTGTTCTCTCTCGGCTGATTGCCCCGAAAAGGTATTGACTGCGTTTGCCTCGGGTCGCAAGTGGGTTTCTATACGACACTCGAAAGGGAAACTTGATGCACAGAGGGCAAGAACACATTGTGAATCACGCCGACAAACCTACTGCCGTACATCTCTTTCATTAGTAAGAGCTTTGATTAGAAAGAAGAATTAGCTAAATTCAGTAAACGTGGCATGAACTTCCGTTGAGAGGCAGTTGAAGCAATCTTCGATCGCATTGCCTCAAGTTGTGCAGTGGGTTAGATCCAGTAAAATAGCTTTCTGATGCTTACATGGCAAAAACAAAAGGATTTTATTTACATTTCATGTCCATCCCAGAATTGAGTGATACCAAAATGTCAAGGTAGTTGAGTTTGTAACTGCTTATAACGCAATACATTCAAAACAGTAGACTACATTTGTTGCACTCGACAAAATTCTCATTTGTTGCCTCTTTTTCCATTGTTACAGAAGTTGGGTCACTGATTATTTGTTTCTGGTTTCATCATATGGAATAATATTTCCTGACATTTCAATCTCTGAGGCGAATGATCAGCAATTGAAACAAAAATTGTTGATCATCAAGCAAGAAGAAGATGCTGAAGTTAAATTTCTCCCAAAAATTGTACGTTATAGACTCATCTCAATTCTAGATATGTAAACCGAAACGTTTTAGTTTCAATAAATATATATATGTATATATATATATATACATATATATAAATAAACATGAGTTTGGTTAGGTTGATTTCAAGAACTGGTGGACATTATCCACTGATCAGAGGAAGCTGATGGGAGATTTCTACTTTGAAATAACAAATTGTCATGTATAAAGTAAAGTCTCAAACACTAATATTATATTTGGATTGAGGAGTAGTTTTCATTCTAACATGATAATGGGGGAGTACATCATCATAGCTTTTGAGTGTTATCGTTTACAATTGGTACTTAGTGTGAGCTCCACAATCAGGGGGGAAGTAGTATATATCGTGAGTAGCAAATATTGATGATAGAGAGTATAAGTTCCGCAAATTTTTCTCACTATTCAATATTGAGGAACCAATTGCTCGTATTTCTTTTGTATTCCGATAAGCATGCCTCCTTAGTTGCGGGATTCAGGGGGGGGGAAGCCGGCAAATTCTGCAAATTCCTCAAATAAGCCTCGGGTGGAACCCGCAAATACCGTGATGGAGTCTGCGGATGCGCAACGCCAACACTGCAGTCCCAATCGAACAAATATTGCCATCCTGAAGAGAGAATACATCAAATTTGCATTTGAGCATTCGCTGAAAACTTCCGCCATGCCTAAGCCTAAGTACGTTAGCTATTTTCAGTCCTCACACGCTGCAGAGTATGGTTTGAAAGTGTATCCACATGACTCCAGCTCTGGCAAAGTATATAGTGTCGTGTGTCGCTTTTGCACTACATTCGGTCGTGAAGAGAACGTCAGCGGCAAGAGTGCACGCACCAATAACGTGAAATACTTCAACACGTTTAGAACTGATGGATACAAGCGCCACCGCCCATTGCTCATGCAGAGCAATGGGCGGAGTACCAACGGATCTTAACCAGTGAGAGTAAAGAGCAGTTCTTCAAGAACATCCCGGTTGCATTCGTCAATAAGCTTGATGCATACCTTGAAAATCAAGGAAATCACATTCCTGTTCTCATCAATGGACCCATTGTGGAAACTGTCCTTGGAGATTTGCTCCTCAATCCAGATGACATCGAAAGCATGTCTTGTGAGCGTGCTCTCCAGCAATTCAAAAAGCTGGATGTGCCTGAACCTGAGATTGGCAAGGAGGATGGCCGCCAAGAAATGTTTGAAGTTGTAATCAAGACGCCTCGGCGACTTAATCTTTGTATAGATTTTGTCCCTTGTGGTGCATCCTTTCGCATGGCGTCCCGCTTGATGGATTGTACTCAAGCTGAATCTGGAATTGGTCTATATGGAGGTCTATAGTGACTTCGGTGCATCCAACAATACTCGATTTGTGTGCGCAAACTGCCTTCAGATGCTTTCGGACGTACAAGAACAAGTGTGGGCTTTCTCCATCGCATTAGATGGCTCGACACATCAAGGACTGTCTTATTTGGACCTGCGTGTGCGGTTCTGTGGGAACCAACTCCCACATAATCCCGGTTTTGTACCAACAAATTGGACAAAAGTAATAAATAAGTACTATGCTAGGTAGGTTTATACTAGAATTAGATTTGTGTAATGCAGTTTAGGGGTTAGGTGTCGCACCGAGTTCTTTAAACTCAAAAAGTGGCTAAAGGACAACATACAACCTGGAGAAGGAGATCGAAACTTCGGAGATGGTTACAACAAAAAACGGACTGCTCGGAAGGGAGGAAGAGTCTCAAGAAGCTTCCTCAGTGTATGTTTTTGCCCCACCCACCGAAACCAAGATATTCCGCCAGAAGTCAAAAATAGAGTTTGAGGCTGGGGATTAGCATTTGGGGTCGCCACAGGTTCAGGTCCGAGATCTCTGGGATTTTTCAGCGAGGGATAAGATTATGTAGGAGTTAGTACTTAAAGCCAAGACGCTTAGTAGGTTAGTATCTTGCTTTCCGTGAGGTTTGTGTGCTTTCCCATTAGAAAAGAAAATTGATTCTTTGGTGACTTGATGCAAGGCACGACGAGTCTCGTGGCAAGATCCATTGTGGGTGACTGTTGCATTTTTTTCTACTTGGTGTATACTCTCGTTGCTCATTTCCGAGAAGAATCTATTGGAACCTATAGTACGAGATCACTTCAGCTGTTGGAGGCGGGTGCAGGCAGAAGAACCTGAGATTTTTTTCGTGGCCCAAGTAGCCTAGAGGAGAGGAGACGTGTAACAAGGTGTTCCTTGTGGTCTATACAGTACGAGTGATCGTTGTCTGAATTCTGAGCTAAGGCCAGAATTACTCCCTCAAAAAACCTATGAGTAGGTGTGAGCCTAAACTCCTCACCCTTCAGCGTTTGTAGTCCAGGTGGGGGTTTGAGCTCCCATAATCTAACTTCTTTGATCTCAACCATGTGGTCAAAGTGTATTCAAGACAATGAGATCATAAACACTTGCTCTTTCACAGACAAATTATCCAAAACTGAAAATAATAACTTGCTGTCTGCTATTTCCACAAGAGCAGCAGACAAGCTCTTTGTTACATAAAGATCTAATCCAACTCTTGGTGACTTTCTCAATACCACAGCCGCTGTGGTCTATCCTAGCTCCGAGTCCCACTCCCAATTCATACTCAGATTTTAGTGTCGATTTCTCAGCTTCCACCTTCAGACCCCACCAGATTCCTCTCTCCGATTCAACTCTCCCTTTTCAGTTTTGAATTCAGATCCAGACTGTCAGATTTCAGTCTCAGATTTCACTTCACTCTCAGCTCCCATTCTCAGATCTTCCACTCTGATTTCAGCTCCCACTCACAGATTTTACACTTCGATCTCAGCTCCCACTCACAGATTTTACACTTCCATCTCAGATCCCACTCACAGATTTTACACTTCCATCTCAGATCCCACTCACAGATTTTACATTTCAATCTCAGATCTCACTCACAGATTTTACACTTCAATCTCAGATCCCACTCACAGATTTTACACTTCAATCTCAGATCCCACTCACAGATTTTACACTTCAATCTCAGATCCCACTCACAGATTTATCACTTCAATCTCAGATCCCAATTTAATTTCACTCTCAGATACGACTTTCCACCCACGAGAGTTTGCTTCCTCCTACTTCGAACTCTCCACACTCCCCTCCTAATTCTCACCACTTCCCTGCGGAAATCACTCACATCCACACTCTATTCCTCCTACCGATCCTACCAGCGTCTCCACACAATGGCACACCACACAATCCCAACTCGCAGGCCGACTAATTCTCTCCAGCGTCCAAGGGCCGAGTCACCCATAGGCCGCGTGAATGCTTTACCCGCGATGATCGGCAACGGCCTGGTTCCCATGTGCAACTTTATGCCCTGCCATCCTATTTCCCACGCTTGACTTCACGCCGCCGCCATTGCCACACCTGTATAGTCTTTATTCATAACCACGTCAACATCCGCCGTCCGAAATCTTCTTCCGCGCACCGCCGAAGGCATCCATCCGCCGAAGACACTCTTCCGCACCTTTGCCTATCTATAACAGTCACCCCCGACGCTCATAACTCACAGATCTCTGCTTCGTTTGAAACGATCTTGGGCTCGTTGAAACAAGCGTGTTAAGCTCTTTCCAACGAGCCCCTAACTAAGTCAAACCGTTAAGAATTGAGTAAGTTATCACTATTTTACTCTTCCGCCGAAGGCGTTTGCCTATGCACAGGCTTCCTACTCGCAACTCACCTACTCGCAACCCGCCTATGCTCAGGCCGCCTATTCGCAACTCCTTGGGCCAAAGGCCTCTCTATCTGTTATCGCCGAGGGCCTCTCTATCTGTTATCGCCGAAGGCCTTTTGCCTAACTATGTTAGCCGCTTTCGACGTTCATAACTCAATGATCTCTCATCCGTTTCAAGAGTTCTTGGTCTCGTTGGAACGAGCGTCGCGAGTTCTTTCCAAAAAAACATTAATTGAGTCAAGGCGTCACACATTGCGTAAACAGAAAAACCTGAAGGTTCAACATCAACAAGGGTAATTTTGCAAGAGCTTAAATCCAAAATTTTAACTCTCATAAGGGTAAAAAGACATGTGAGCACAGTTTTGTGCTCACATCATTGGCGACCATCAGGGGAAGATTCTAGAATCCTAGCTCTGCACGCTAGATAGCTTCAAATCCGGTACTGCTTGCATCTACTTCCCGCAGTGCGTGTGGGGAAAACTTCTCCATTCAACGTTTCCAACTAGACTGAGTTGTTTGGAAATACCTCACGAATCAGATAAGGCCCTAACCATACTGCATCAAACTTTCCTGGGAACTCAAGCTTCCTACCATCCTGGAGCATCACCATCATACTTGGCCTCAGCGTCCTTTTCTTATGCTTCTTGTCAAAGGTGATTTTTCTCCTCCGTTGAATGGCCTCAATATGTTGAGCACTCATTCTTCTCCTCTCATCAAGCTCTTCTAATGTCGTCAGCCTATTCATCAATGACTGTTTGTTTGTAAGCCTTGACTGCACTGCAACTCGGAGTGATTCCACCTTGAATTCGATGGGAAGAGTGGCCTCCAATCCATACACTAACAAAAACGGCGTTGCCTGGGTCGTCACCTTGAAAGTTATCCGATAAGCCCACAATGCTACTGTCAACTTGATGTCCCAATCCCTTTTTGAGTCAACCACCGTTTTGCAAAGAATACTCACCAAAGTCCCATTGACTCGCTCTGTCTGATCATTGGTTTGTGGATGATATGGAGTAGTTTTTCTGTGATCTATCTGAAATCTATCAGTCATTTCTCGAATTAAAGAATTCAGAAAATGCGAGCCCCTAT